ATTGCACTAAAAGATTCCTTAATGATAAACTACTGTCTAGTCATCGGGTTTACCACGCGAGTGAAGCCGCAGGCGGAACTCTACTATTTTTATATTAGTACTATAAATAAGCTATCAGTGAGTATTATGAAGAAACGCCAGAGAAATTATCCGCCCAAGTGATCTGTACTAAAATGGTGGGCCAGTAGTCGTTATTTTTCATCCGGCTTTATTTTTACGCGGCGCTACGTCGACGGTTGGCATCGAACGGGATTCTAATCAATTTAATTTATCAGGGATCCCCAGAGGCGGCCATTCACTTCATTTAATGCGCGTATTTTGCGGCAGAGCTGATTGTTTTGAACCATTCGGCTGTACGGTCCATTTAGATTAATTATTGGATTACTTAATTTCGCAGCGGATTTACGCTGTACCTACTTATATTCGCTATGATTTATCTCGTACACAATGGATAAAGCTTTATTAACTAGAATTTTAGCTGATCCAATTTACAATGATTTGCAGTTCCTGTTGCTATGTCGGCGAAGGTTCGCATTCACCACCGATCATTAATTAACGTCAAGATTAAATAAGAAAGTCGATAATCGAAGAAATAAGGCTGGAATTACGGTGGCGTCATTTGTCCCGGCAACTAATAAAGGAGACAATATTGCACTCGATACGTATAAATGCGAGCAACATTTGGGGCGTGATATTAATTCCACCAGTAATTGCTATCGGTTTCCAGCCCGGGCTGCATCCGTGAGCCATGAATACGGGAGTTACCGCTATTTGTTCCTGACATTGCGGTTTAGGGTTTTACCTCGGCCCCACTCGTGTATTTATTTTCTTCGAGTTTTGTACAAACACAATGGCGGAGTGGATTATCGGGCTCATTCCGATAGTTCGGCCTAACGCCCCTGAAAACAATGGGCTTATTTCAAATAGCACTATTGTATGTTACATGAAATTAACAACGTAGAAATAAACAGCGGCTTTGTAGTCTGTAAAGTAAGTCTGTAATGAACCTTATTTATTGACATTTATAGAAAAAAACCTTCATGTTGCCGAAATTTTAGGCATCATTACTTTATATTTACATAAATACGGTATTTGTTTGAGAATGCATTAGTCTTCTCATATAGTTTGTGGTTATGAATTATATCATTCTATATATTTGTAGTATAACATTCTATATATTTGTAGTATAACATTATAGTTACCATATGTAGAAAATTACTGTATTAATGTGCAAAATTTAAATCAATATTTAGAATTTTAGGTAGTAACCTTAAATTTCTGCCAAATTAAAAATAGTTGAATAACTATTAATTTAATAACTCAAAAATATTTTAAAACATGTTCGAGTGTTTTAGTTGTTACCGTATAACAGCAGCACACGCTATCAAAATCTCGTCATACATAAATTAAGTGAGCATGGTAACACCGGGTTCCCGTTCAACAGTTAAGCCTCATTGTGCATAACCAAAGAGGTAGTTAAACCACAACACTGGCTTTCTAAATCACCTAAAACATATCGTTAAGGGTAAATTTATAATGTTGCAAACGCGAAAGGAAAATAAAGTAAAACGACACACCAATTTCTCCTGAGAACGGCAGCAACGCCAATAACCGTTTGTGAAAAACAAAATGATATCACACCAATTGAAATCTAAATAACGAAAAAGAAGCACTCATAAGCTTATTACCGCATTTTGCAAAAGAGAATTGAGTTGTTCACCAGCAAGAGAAAGAAAATAAGGCACGGCCCCTTAAAGATAAGTAGGACGTAACTCCATTCTGTAAAGGGCCTCTCCAGTCGTAGATGCCACGCATCCAATTCTGTTGGAGCCACCTCGCCTCTTGTATCACGGGACTATATGGAGAAATAGGGGTTATTGGATGATCGTCGGGGGCTCGATTGTAAGTGGCCGAGTTTCACATAGTCGGCTTGTGCGGTGTGAACGGAGGCCCTCGTTATTTTCAATTTCCATACACGAACGCCCTTCCAGCTACACGTTTTCGTGTAGAAGTATGAGATGCGAGTGTATTAAGCTATGAATCTTGTAAAGGCCTGAGCTGATTTAATACGTTGCCGGGGTAAGCATTTACGATTGTTTATAGAGTCTCTCGGTAACAATTTTGTCGAGGGAACATTAACTTTGATAAGTTTAACGCATTTTTAGTCATGTTTCTTTACGGTATTTGGTAAATTATGAAATTGACAAATTAATAAATCTAATGAAATTAAAAAAAAAAGCACCAGTCCCAAATACTCACAGACGAGACTCGAACCAACAACAACACGAGATCCAGCAAGACTGACGAATTCAATTGACAAAATCAAATATGAAAATGAATTTAACAAATTGAACATAAATAGTCTTTCTTAATGTAAAATACTTGAAAAAAAAAACACTTTCTCTGGCACCCTGAGATGGGACTCGAATTCATGGCCACTACTCTAACTATTGAGGTACAAAGTGGGTTTTTTAAGTATTTTTCAGTATAGCATTATGAATGCAAAATTGATCAAATATAATAATAAATAAAAGTTGTTTTATACGACATTATGTAAGTTGCGTCGTCTCAATAAAACAAGTAAATATGCGACAATTTATAAAAAAAATAGACTTAAAAGCAAATGAAAAATTTCCACTTCACACTCTTGACCGTTTTATCTCAAGGAAGGCCATTGAAATATATTAAGGAAGATATTATAATAACACATTTCTGGCAACACCTGTAGGTAGCGAGCGTCGGTGTACAAGGGGAAAATTGTATTTCCATTTTTACAATTTCAATTTAGTATTAATTCGAGTCCGGAGTACGGTCGGGCGCGCCACCACATGTAAAATATGGATCGGCTAAGTGAAATTAAAATGCTCTATAAATTGTGATTTTTGCAAGTCCTAAAGTGGAGAAGGCTTTTTATTATTTATCGCCCGCCAACCGATGGCCAGTGCTCGCTTGCTGGGAATCGCTGTTATTATTCAATTTACTTGTTTGATATATTAACATTCACGTGGAAATTCCGAGATTACCTTTTTAGCTTGATATCATTTTTAAACACGCTTGTTTTTTTATGTCGGTTATGTATTATCAAGACTAAAAACAATACAAGTTATTGTTTTACGGATATATTTTACATATTTATAATCACTTAGATTAGATAAATTATTTGCTTTACCAATAATGAAAACTTTACGAAAATATGTGCTGGCGCATATTTAGATTGAAATACTACACAATAAGGGTTCGATAATATCTATAGACATTGATCACATCAGATACATGCTGCTACAGGAACTAACGGAAACCGTTTGCTCTATTCAAGTTCGTAACAGGCGGTGAAGATACTATAATATTATTACTAGAATATTAGTGCGTGTAAAATATTTTAAAACAATCAGCATGAAGATGTACTTGACATTTTTTACATATATACTTTGTTGTGCTTCTACACTGTCGACATCTTCTTCGACGCTTACTTTCATGCTCTTCTATGACATGACCAATACTATCGAAGCGAATATCGGAAGGTAACGCGTTTTTGGATGGTCTCGGTAGATTTATATTTGAATTACCTAAAAATGCGAATTATAGTTGGGCATTTTCGATTTTCATTAAACAAATAATATATTTTGTAGCTTAATATAAAGTTTCAATTACTATCGTATATTAACCATGAGTGATAACTTTAGATGGTAGAATTTAATACCTTAAAATGAAATAATATAGCATCTTAATCGTCTGCTACGGGCAGTGTAAAGTTCAGCATATAGCCACTGACAAAGTACAGACATGAACTGCGCAGACACACCAGACACGGTCCGTGTCTGCTAGAATCTGTGTCTTTAGATGTACAGAATATTATTTTGTCTGTGTCGGCAAGATTCTGGCGGGTTACATTTTTGGTTGTTATAAACGAACCTTTATACACATGTCAAATGTCGTTTATACCCCGTAATGGTCGTTTATACCTTTTAATGGTCGTACTGAGATTTTAATCAAATCAAAATATTGCGTGTCACATTACAAACAATGAGATATAATTAAGTTTTAGGTATACATGTGACGCCCTACAAGGGCATTGCAATATGTAGAGGAGAGCTTTATCAAAGTGAAAATATAAGATTAACAGCAAATTAAAATTAAAAACATCTCACAATTTAGTTATTCATTGCATAAAAATTAAATTAAATTCCATAAGATAAAATTATGTCAAAAAATATTCTTAATGAAAGACGACCAAAGATTATATAAAAACAATGAGTAAAAATAAATTAAATTAAAATTTGCTCGTCACATTTGTCAAATTCTTTACAACGCATTAAACATTTTGTACTATTTGTGATAAGTTGCTCGGGCAAAGTCAAATCTGAGAAGCAACTAACTTTATATATAATTTAGATTAGATAATGTATATATTACGAAGAACGCCAACGGCAATTTTTTTGATTCTTTCCTGCAGTTTTTAAGTCTATCACACACATCCTAACATTTCCTCAGTGTGTAAGTGGCATTGCAAGCAGTGCGAGTGCCATTTGCACGCTGCAATTTGCTTATTGCACGCTTTTTATAAAGCGATAAATTTGAATCTCTTTATTTAAAAAAACATACTATTGTGAATTCATTTAATAATGCCACAAAATGAATACCATGTGACTTATTCGTATATCTTGCAATTCCAGATTGGAATTGATGTTAAATAAATAATTATAATGGATTAAATGAGTCAGAAACACGATTAGTATTAGATGAATGTATGGTCCCACTAGAGGTCACAAGATCACAAACTTAAACCTATATAAACTATATCGTGTTGGTTATTGAAATAGTATAAAATTATTTCAATTTTCTACACAAAATAACGTAAAAAGCTTTAGAAAAAATGACACGCAGCTACGACAGAATGAAATGAAAAATGTTTAAAAAATTGGGATTGGTCTCAATATTTTATACAAGACTAATACCGTTTATAATGTTTTTCTAATGGTTTTTCATTCCTTTCATTTCAGGGGCTTTGGATTCATCACATTCGGCGACCCAGCTAGCGTAGATAAAGTATTAGCTCAAGGAACTCACGAATTAGACGGAAAAAAGGTAAGTGAAAATCAAATGTTGATATTAAAATAATTATAAATGTTATAAAAACAACTATTAAAGAGCTCAAGTGGTTGGGATCCAATCGGATGGGTTTGGGTAACATCCAATGACGAATAAATTAATTATGTCGCGTTCCTCCGTGCTTCGGAAGGCACCTTAAGGCCCTCTTGTAACATCGAGAGTAAAACCGCGCTCGCTTGATTACATAGTTTTAATCAAAAAGTAAACAATTGCAGTTATAAAGAGACAGACAGGCAGCGAAGTCTTGGTAATAGGGTCCCTTTGTGTAAGGAACCCTAAAAAATATCTTTTTTGTTGTCAAAAGAATAAATCAAAACCTATGTTTTATATAGTTAAGATAAAATATATTAGTCGTAAAATCGATCCAAAAACTTATTTAGGGTCACCTTTGCGATTTTTTTCTATCAAGCCAATTATTAAAACTTATGTTTCTGTTTTAGATAACAATCGATTATATGTTTAATTTTAATAAAACTTTTTATTTGGCAAATAATAGCATAGCCTTAGAATAAAATTGGTTTAAAAGTGGTAATTTCGTACAAGCTCGCCTTAAGCTGCATCTGAAGTTTTAATACTTGAAGTGTTATTAACCATTCTCCCTCATTCCAATACCTGTAACCCGACAGTGGTGTTATGTTTTGTGTAATAATATACGAATATAGTGACATATATTAACTTATTGCAATTAATCTAGGAGATTATTATAAAATTTCTGTTTTCTACTCTTGGCCACGAAGTAAGTCAATACATTTGGTAATATATAAAATAAATATAAGACAACATAGCATACATCACTCTTATTCCAAATTAAATAGGTTTTAGCACTTATATCGGATACAACGAAGGTACTGCAACACCCAGACACGAAAATCATTTTCTATATTGATTCGAATCTCGGAGTAAAGATACCTACCTGGAAACTGGTGTGCGAGCCGCTCAATCATGAAGGTCTTAAAAAAACATAGCAAATATTGAATATTGGTGGATTTTAAGAATAATTCTCATAATCGACCAATCTTTACGTCTTTCTATATTGCCATGCCTATCAAGGTGCATGTGATATTAACTGAAATTTATGTATTTAGTATCTATGTAAATAAATAAATCTCTCTTGTATTTTCTTATTTTTTAATTAAAGTTTCTATTGACTTCATTACATCTGTCATCTATAACTGATTTGACGTTAAGCGTTTGCCTTAGACACCCTCTTAAATAACACTTTCGTTCACATCAAACACAGTGGGTAAGGAAACTGGTTAAATACACGAAGATTCGCATCGTTTATGACTTCTAAACCATCCTGTCGCATACATAATCTTTACATCAACACCGGATTCGAATTCGCTCCTTGCGACTTTATTGACGCATCCCGAGTGACATAAATTCAACCCTCCTCCGGCCGAATGGCCTTTACAACGCCATAAAGTGTTAAATCACGGTCGCTTTTAATATTTCACCGTGTAATTTTTGTTTATGTGAACTACACTGTCTGAATTTTTAATTTATGGTTAGATAGTTTTTTGGCTACGACACGGCGTGGTGCGTTTGTTATCAACGTGTAGATGTATTGGACTAGAACAAAATAAAGTCGGACAAAACGTTTATTTTATTAAACAAATTTGTAAGTTATTAAAAAAAATTGGATGCAAAAAATCATTGACACGATGACTGAAGATGAAGTGTATTAAATAGAACTTTGGCAGTGCTGAAAGGGAATGCTGTAGTTCTGATGCAGAACCGGTTTAAAGGCAGACATTGATAAGGACTGGTTTTATGTCAAGATGAAGGATAGAAGGCAAGGGTTCATACCAGCTGCTATAGCGGGACATAGCTACATACGATGTTTATTGATATTAAAAGACTGACTTATAGCAGCATAGAAACAAATCATCAGAATAATTTATGTTTCTAAATAATATACTTAAAACAGGATGACTGTTTGGACAGTTTTGTGCCCAGTGGAAAGTAACGAGTAGATTAGAGTTTTTACATTGTTTAACATTTATAATGTTAAAATGTTACCAACCTAAAAAATTGCTGAACGAATTCGCGGCTGTAGATTTTCGCTCAAAATAATATCCGCTGGAAAGTTTATTTTTTGTGTGTGTACTTTACACGGATTTGTTATGTTCATTGTCCATCTACCCTAGTTCCCAATGTGTATAAAAGTTGAATGGGTCAACTGTTGCGAATGTTTTGTCGTAACAAAAATAAGGAAAAAAATCGTAAACGAAAATAGTACGAGAGCTAGTTATTTATACAACCATTTACAAAAATAAGTAATGATCATTTTTACATCTGAGTACGGCAACACATTCGCAATCCCGTTTGCTCTCCGTCTGTACACAAACAATAGATAGAGAGAAAAAGTCGATTACTATCGTTCGCCACGATATAATCCTGATAAATTACAACGTGCCTCGTTGTTTACTCTGATTAAATTGTAGTCGACTGCCGGAAGATTAGCCGATGCTTCGCAAATCGAGCTTGAAGAGAGAGCATTTTCTCAATTTACATAAAACGAACGCGAGAAATCGCGATAGTGTTTACATTGAGTATTCTATACGTTCTTATCCAATTGCTCTTTGCTATAGTATTTTTTGTGTTATTGAACACGATCATGTTGCGTTATGTAGGTTTTATTATTCTCTTTTCTATAGAGAGTGTATCTTAAAACGGAATCGGTTTATTTCGGTGTAGATTCTTTATTAGTTTTCCTTTTTTTTGTAAATGTTTCTACCGTACCTCTAAAGAATAAAACGAAACCTATGATAAGATTACTCAGTTGTTCATCTGTTCGTCCATTTGTTACAACTAATTAAAGACAGATTGATTTGATACAATGTTATATGTAAACGACTAAGCCAAAGTGTAACGTGTAACATGATTATAAAATACTTGCTGTTTCCTTGCGACTTCGCCTGTGTGAATTATATAATTGCCTGTGTCACCAGTGTATAATGTTGCTTCCCGTACGTGAAAGAATTGTCAAATCAGTATTTTTGTTTGTAGTAGTAGTAATAATTTTTTTAGAAAATTTACTTGTCTATAGTATAAGTATAGATGAATTGGGCTTTTGAATAAAATTGGACTGTGTAAATTTTTGGTGAAGTTATAAATTTGGAACTATTTGAGAAAATATGAAAAACGACTGGTCCTATATATATCTTTATATAAGTTTCAAACCATCCATGTCGTCTAGTATGCTGTATATTGTAAATGTGAAAGCTAAAATACTTGTAACTTCATGTTGTTCAAAGAAAATTTTATACTACTTTTTCAAGCCATAACAATTCCAACTCCAGCCATATGAGATATATTTAGAAATCGGTGTTCAATGCGATAGCAATATCGCAAAGGCAAATAAACAAAACGGCAAATATGCCGGGTATAGTCTCACAACGCAAGGTCTAAGCAGAAAAGTTAATCGCATGTCTTTACGTCATAAATTGTGCGCATTTTTCGGGAGTATGCCTGAACATAATAGCTTTCTGCGTCATCAATATTTATAGCGATGTTTACGATTGGACTTATAAGAGAGCACGTGCTATTTCGTTTTTGTTGTTGCAATAATAACTTAGAATATAATTTTCTATGATCTGAGGTTCCAACTAATGAGGTTCGCTTATATAAGTTTTGTTAACCATTATAAATTAAAAAAAAAAATAAGGTAAGCGGATGATAAGTTTTGCTTTGCTATTATGGCAATGTTATTGCCATAACATCAACAGCCTATTAATGTGCTTACTGCCGAGGCTCAGACATACAGAGAACGTGCCCTCCGAAGCACGGGATAGAAAGTTTTTGGTCACCCATCCTATGACCGGTCATTGAGAAATTTGCCGAACCACTGCGCCATCGAGCTCAATTTTCTATCTATTTCCTATTATATTAATTTAATTCATATACGACACCATCTAAAGCACTTTTCTATGGAAATTTGGTTACTCCATGGATGCAACGGTGGTACCAAAACACTACTCAAGATAATATACGAAAAGTCATTTAGTCCCGACCGGGAAACAGACTTGGGAGTCGGGTAAAAAAAATTACAAACAAAATAATATTATACAATCGGCTTATAGGCTAAAAAGCTAAAAGGTTTTAAAACGATGTATGCTCAAAATTGTGAATTTCGTTTTATAATATCTTGTTTTTATTTGAGAAGTCAAAACAATAGCACCTGTTAACAATTACAAGAACTGTATATAAAATTAGTATTTTAAGTTCAAAATGTAACTTTCAAATATACGTATAAATGGATGTAATATATTTACAACCGTTTATTAAGCTAAACTTACGGCAAAATTTATAAAACTAATACCAGTTTCACACAATTTATTGAATTAATCTATTACATTTTATACCTTTTACATTATGCATCTTTTTAAGTGTACTCTGTATGTTACCAATGTTCTTCTAAGAAATTGCTTTTTAGTGATAAGGCCTCCAATTAAACTGTCTGTTATATTATCATGTTCTGTTTCATTACCTACGATGTATATAATGAAAAGTATTTCGTTCATTCAAATCGCTTGTGTTTCGTAAAAAAAAAAACTGTGGTATTGTTCAATGCTTACAAAAACAAAACCACTCACGAAGTTGTTCCCTAAAATGAAATTCCGAGAGAGGGACCTTTAAAATTGTTGTATTACAAGTTCGGGATAAGAAAAACAGGCCCGACTTAATAAATTATCGAAACAAAATAAAATCAATACAATCCCGAGATCGTTCCTCAATGTACCTACTTTATCTTCGTCCCTCAACCGCAAGTAAACTTTCCCCATTTATATTTTATTAAGACGAAATATTGAAACTTATTTAGTTCTTCCTACAACTTTGCTCCGAGGTTTATCGATTTAAAAAAGCTGCAAACAACTAAGTCTTTACATGATAAAATAATCCATGAAAGTTATTTATTTTAATTAGATTAATTTAATTTAATATCGATATTTTACAAAATGGATAGTCTAATA